AAATAAGCAACTTCCCCTCTGGAAGGAGCTTCAGAGCTTCGCCTTCTTCCTCCTCCCACCCACTTCTGTCCCACGAACACATCAACACCAGCGAATGGCATTCGATCGCCATCCTCTGCTGCCCAGCCAACGTGGCTGGACAGGAAAAGGGACCTAGAGCACCGCATGAGATCACCACTGTATGTTTAAACTTTCGCTCTCCTCCCGATGCGGCCCCAATAGTTCAGGTATCGATCTGCAAGGGAAGATCCCACCCAGGCTCGATCGGCTCGAATATAGTTCTTTTCATGGCTCTCCAGCTAACCTAATCTCTGCCCATTGTACTCCGTACTCCATACAGGATGCAGTACTATAGCACGCGTCTGCCCAGCGAACAGGGAACTGGACATAAAACAATGTCGGCAACTGCGCTTGAGCAGCCCTTCTCACAGAATTTTCACCAGCAAGCTCCATTGGCGGTCTTAGTGCCGTCGCCCTCTGCCAAGCGAGAGCTTTCTGCGAATCGCTTTGGTCTGCTAAGGAAAGATGGATAAGGCTATAACGAGACTAATTGGAAACTATCGAGGAAATACTGGTTGCAATGGGGTAAACTAGAGCTCCCCACCATTGGTAGACCGGGAGACCCTGCTGGGACAGGATTGCTAGTGGACAATCTTTTCCTTCTTGTGCGAGTTTTCGACATCATCAAGGGTCCTCCACCGCTGGTGTGGCTGGGGTGGAGAGGATCTCTTTCCCAAAATCAGAGATCTCGGCCTCAGCCACAGGCTGTGGATAACTGGATTTTTGCCACTGGTCGAGCGAGCATGAATGAGGTCATGAAAACTCCGGGGATTACCTCTCCAGGGAGGGTGGTATGATTCCTACACTGCAGCTGTCGGTAGCTGGTTATTAGTATCGAAAAACTGCTTCTGATGACGTCTCGAGGCAGCTCGTCGTTCTCATGCTCGTGCGCGGGTCTTGCAAAAAGGCCTACGGAACTTCGCAGCCACAATACGCATAATACCATGGTGTCCAGCCACCCTGAATAGGTAGGAGCTAATAATGGGACCTTCACTGAGAGAGCCAAATCCGCAAATTGCCACAGCGCTGGCTATCTTTTGCTGAGTTTTGACCTCGTGAGAGTCGTGAAGTGTGGAGCCTAACTGTGGAGCAGGTACGGTCTGTGGCGGTGCAGTGTTATTGTTGTTGTCATTGTTGTTGTTCCTGTCTCTTGTTGTTGCTATTGGGTTTATTTTTCGGCACCCAGCTTCGTTCAATACATGGCAGCCTTGAGAACAGTTTTTTGTACACCCCTGCAGCGCGCGGGCTGGATTCTGCAAGAACCATCCTCATGCAGAGTGCAGGCTGGGTGTCACACCATATACCTGTTCTGAGGTTATGGCCCTTACGATTCCGGTCCTGTTCACCAGAGAAAAACGAAATCTGTACTACCTCTAGGCCCTCCCGTTGCCTCACGGAATACTTTGTTCAGCATGCTCTACCTAGGTACTCCGTATACCCATGTTTGGTTCTCCTACAGGGTAACCGGCCACTCCGTACTCATTCGCCCACTCGAAAATAATTACGGAGTAATAGTGGGGAACGAGCGAGATCGCTGATCACTTTGCTTTGAAGCGGCAGATTGCCGAACAAGCAATCCGATGCGATCGGATCGTGTCACTACTCATTATTGCAACGCAGCATCGGGCAAGCATTGGCTAAGTGCTCCGTACAACCATGGGCCACCTTGCACTAATTAACCATCCCCCTTTTCAATTTCCATCCAACTTGAATCAGTAGCTTCTATTTTCAATCTTGAAGCCCTGCTCCAACCTCTTGATCCAAGGACCGATCAAACGCCGAGATCGGTATATCTCGATCAGTCCCAGTGTGACGGCCCCCAAATGGTTTTTCGGCTAGATAGTTAAAAGGTCGCTACATACTCCGTACATACATACCCCAGGAAGGATTGAGCTTCGCGCACTAATCTTCACCAATTATCGGCTTTGATCAGTGAGGATGTGTACACAGCTTCAGGTTGGTGTTCTTGACAGCAGTAGGGGGGTGTACATATACATCTCAAAGGCTGGGAACAAGCTTGGAATTGCCCGAAAATTATGGAGGTTTGGATCTAGTTGTACGATCGACGACTTAGACACTGCTATTTCTACCAAAGGGGCATTTCATACGGATATCTCGTTGAGGACTAGAGACGCGTTGATCGTTTAGTCTGCGGATTGAAATGGGGTCTATTCTATTGTACATGCCCCTGGACCAGCAGGATATAGGATGGCGCTTAAATGCACATCTGGTTATGCTTTTAAAATTCCAGGAGTCGCGAGGGGGGGCTATCCACCCACCCCCTCGCCAATAAACACAGGATGGCCTGTCTGTGTTATGAGACCGGTTCCCTCGTGATAGTTCATCTGAGGGGTGCGATAGGAAAAGGGCGCGGCCAAGCGCGAAATGTTCGGAAAAGACAAAACACCATAAACCGCCTTGCTATCATTGCACTTCATGTCGTGTCCAGTACAGCAGAGTGGAATCATCTCCATGCCTGGTTTCCAGTCAACCACCTCTTTTTTTTCTTCTCCGCCACAACTGTCCATGGACCATGCAGTTCCAAAACAAAAGTCAGGAATACATAGTGGTAATCCAGTTTGGTGTCGGCGGGGGCGGGGGGAAGGGGGTTGGTATGGTCAGTGAGCCACGCCCCCCGGCTTATGTGTTGTCGTTCAGCGTTCACAGCATGTCAGAAGGAGATACTTCAGACATAATTGGATTCCATTTTGGAGACTTCGCAATGAGTCGACAGGGGCAATTTTTCCATCGAGTTCCGCTCCTCCATGACAAATGGCTCAGGTTGGCGATGTTGTCTCTGATAGAGACAAAGGTAGACAGAGACGACGAATCGCCCGAGTAAGAAGCCAACGGCACCGGCGAGCAGACCAGCCGCAATGCCTAGACAGGCCGGGAGAACGACGGGGCGCAGGAAGTGCATGAAGGCCAGTTTGTGGGCTTTATGATGCGAGAACGGATGTTGTTTCCTTGAGGAGCCCGAGGACTCGAGAGAAGAGAAGGCAGAAGACTTGTGGGTGCTGAGAGACTGGAAGCTATCTAGCCGGTGCTCAAAAGCCTCCTCCAGGTCCCTCAGGTACGATGAAAGCTGTTCCGCCAGACCATCCATGACGGTCATCCATACGCCGACTTTTCCTTTCGACCCGACAGTGTCCAGGCAGACAACCTGGACTTGTGGGATGGAAAGATCGCCCTTGGGGTCCCGGAGGAGTTGAATGGCAAGCTTCTTCTTGACAGCCAGGTTGCCTTCCACGTCCAGCAGACGCATGTGCAGGATCGACAGCTCGACAGCAGGAGCAGCCTCTCGAGGCGGCAGAGACACCACATCCAGCGAGTAAGTCAGGGGGACAATCTCCGGGGTCTTTTTCTCCAGATACCAGCGCCGGATGGCATTGATGCGCATCTCGCCGACCGGGGGATAAATGGCAACATCGTTGGCATATATCGTGTCATTGTCGATAGACAGAGATAATGTCTGGGGTTGAAAAAAGCATCAATGCTGTTCAGTTCGCGCTACGGGAAACAAGAGACAACATACCAAGTACGGTTTCGAATGAGCGAACCGGGTGATGGTGCCATCCGGGGCCGTTTCCATCCCCAGGCGGGTGTCGAATTCCGGTAGTTCAATGTCATACAAGCCATTCGCAGTCACGTCCGAGTCGAATGTTGTTGTCCAGTCACCCTTGTTGATTGTGTGCGCCCAAGCAACAGTGGTGCTGACACCGAGCCAGATGGCGCCTGTCACCAGCAAGGATTGAAGACGCATAGTGAAGGATCGAAAGAGAATGAAATGAACACAAAAGAAAGAATAGAAGATGAAGCAGAAAGCAAGATGTTCAATGGTGGGTAGAAGACCTTGGAGAGACGTTCCGTCGAAATCTGACGTCCGTGAGAGAGGAAACTTTTTACTCTTTTTTTTTCAAGCAAAAAAAGAAAGAAAGAACGAAGTGATATGATGAAGAGATAGAGAACGAATACAACAGAACAGATGACGATAGAATTGGTGGAAATTGACGTCGGCTTTTCCAGACGGGACTTGGGGCCTTCCTCCAGTCTTTAATGAGAAAGTGTTGTATATATGGGAGCCTGAAGCGGGCCAGACTTAGCTTCTGCTCCTCTTCCCACAAGACTAACTTGACTGAGAGAAGGGGGTTTCAAAAGCAATGAAGAATGCAAGCAAGAAGAACCTCCTCCTGCGCCATTAATTATTATCTTCGCGACCGGAAGTAAAAGACCGCCGATCACACGAGATCTCCCAGAAGGGACATTGTGACAATGAGAAATGGTGGTGCCTAAAATCCGCCCGCCCGCACGGGCCAGGCGAATCCGAGACCTCCAGGCTTCTTTCTCCTCACCACCACCATCCAGCTAATAATAACTGGCTTCTCCGTGCCTGCTCCGTAGCTGAAGTAACTAGTTGGTTGACTAGTTATTTGGTACTTTTCTTGGTTGGTACTCCGAATTATTTTACCAAATGCTTAAGGTCCCATGGTGGAGTCGGAAAAGCTTGTACAAGTCTGTGGCCTAGAACTGAGACCTGATTTGCTCTGTCGTCTCGTATGTTTTTCGGTGAGTCTTGTCAAGTTTTCAAATTCATGATTATGCCAATAATCAGTTCATAACTCACCAAGAGAACCAGGGTGTGCTATGTATGTAGTACGACCGTTGTCTATTTCGGGGCTTAAGCTTGCTCAGCCTACTCCATACAACCCTTGTCCTTGTCACTACCTAGGTACTAGGTACAGTACTTAATTACTGCCTAGAGCTAATTGCTAATTGTCTATATTTACTTAGTGACAGGAGCCGTTCGATGGAATCGATACTTCCCCTTTAACCACAACTGGAAATGCACGACATTTCCCATTCCTCAAAATTGAAAACATCTCCACAGCCCGCACCAGGGTTCAGCCTTGGACCACAATAAAGTTGCCAAGGATGGGCTGCAGGTTCATGCGAACTACACTGTCAATTTACCCCGTCTGCTCCGTAAATAACGGTGCTGCTCTCTGTCGATTTCGAGTAGATACCTACACTAATATTCTACGGGGTTCTTCAAAGAAGACCATCACTCTGTTCCAATTTTGTTCTAATTCTGTTGGCCGCCCATTCAAGGCTCGTGCATCTAGCGCGGGGGACAGACCCTGTCTCAAAGGGACGATCGACGCAAGGTGAGCAGACGGGATGTGGAAGACTTGGTTGTTGAATCCTCCTTTCCTTGAAAACGGAGTACTCCGTGTCTTTTCTTGAATATACGGGACAGGGGATGATCGACAGCATGTCATACGATGTATCTCTTTTCCGGCTACCTTGCCCATTATCTCCTTTCAAAGAACTCTGGAGTCTGTACTCCGTACTCCGTACTACTCCCTACATACGGACTACCAAATACTTCAGTGCTCCACTGACCGATCGTACAATTAATCCAATCAGCCTTAAAAAAGATCAGCGAGATCGAAATGTCTCATCAACAAGCATTTCGATAGGTAAGAAGATAAAAACTTTAACTTTTAATAGATTGGCTGTCAGGGCTCTGACCCCATACTTCAAATGGGAAGAGAAGCTTGTGTCTGGTTTCCGAATCCAATGTTGATCCCAATCTACGGAGTAAAACTATAAATAGTATTCCAAAAAAAAAAAGAAAAAAGAAACCCTTCTTACTGTGCTTATAATAAGTTTTCATACCAGGCATGGTCATTATCATTAGGCTAGCTACATACGGTCTATTATATGTACTAGATTAAGTCGTGGGGTGAATAGAATGACGCCTTGCCTCGAGCATCAACTTAGCTTTGAACCTTCAGCTTCGAGTCAATGCTTCTTAACCTTCAGCTTCCTTCTAGCTTCGGCTTCGGTTTCGGCTTCGGCTCTAGGGGGACCTCATCTATCCAGCTCTCTCTCACTCTCTCTAATTATGAGGAAAATAAAGACCCTTCTGCCACCACTTGCAGCGCGGGTTGCGCGTGGGATCCTGCATGGCCGTGATGTTGGTCAGGCCTAGGTTCAGCAGCCGACCGCGGGCGCCGTACTTTTCGAACACCGGGCCGATGGTCGAGTTGGGCACGCCCGTCTCGACGAAGCTGGTGAAATAGTCCTGCATCACATCGGCGATGTATGTGCTCTCCACGTCCGAGGCCGAAGAGACCCCAGGTGTGTAGAAGGTGTAGGGAACGTCTTGCCCGTGGATGGCAGGCGGGATGCTGAACATGTACGCGTAGGTATCGTTGCCGTACGCGCGGTTAAGGTAGTCGGTGTTGCACGAGAAGACCAGATCCCCGATCGTGAGCGCGGACCGCCCGACCGTCGTGTTGTATCCGTACAGGCCGCTGTAGTTGGCCGGGTACAGGACGTTGGTGATGTAGTTCTCGGCGTTGGCGCTGATCTCCGGCAGGTGGCTCTTGATGAGGAGCTCAAGGCCGTCCGACTCGACGCTGTATGGAGGTGTGAAGGCGAGACCCTCATTGGCGTTGTGGCCAACCATGATGCTCAGGTTGTGGTCGAACCGGCCCTCGAGAAGCAGCATGCCCGGGAGCTCGGGCGCAAAGACCCCATCCACGACGGGCCCGTACTTGAAGGTGCCGTACAGCTGCGTCTTGGCGACCTGGTAGGCGTTGGCGGCAATCAGGTCGCTGGAAGGCAGCGAGCGGGCTTGGGCGATGGTGCTGACGTTCAGCAGGCCCAAGAATTCCTGCAGCGTGTCCTCTTGTTCATCTTGCTCGGGGACTGGATACCAGCCGGGGCTTTGGAGGATGGCCTGCTGGAAGGGGGCGGGTCCTCTGCTGCCTCCGAACGCGGTGATCTGGTGTTCAATGGAGCCTCCTCCGGCGGATTCGCCCATGACGGTGACACGGTTGGGGTTGCCTCCGAAAAGATGGATGTTCTTGTAGACCCAGTCCAGGGCGAAGCGTTGATCGTACAGGGCAGCATTAGCAGTGCCATTGCCAGTCAAGCTGCTACCAGCGAGCCAGCCAAAGGCGCCGAGCTAATTTTCGTTTAGTCGACGAATACGGAAGGGAAGGAGAACACGAGCGAGCACAAGAAAGCAACTTACACGGTAATTGAGCGCCACAAAGACAATGCCCTCCTTTCCACCTTTCAAGCTGCGCTCGATCAGTCCCGTTGGGCTTTCCTCACTCTTATCGCCGGACGTATAACCGCCACCAAAGATCCAGACGAGAACTGGGGCTGTCGCATTCTCGGGAACCGAGGTCTTGTTCTGAGAGCGATCGAAGATCTTCTTGGGCACCACGATGTCCAGGAAAAGGCAGTCCTCAGTCGTACGAGGATCAGGCGTGCCGGGTGTGTACGAAAAACTCGAGATGTTGGTCGGGCCAGTGTAGGGGACCCCCTCTATGACGCTCACCACGAAATCCGGTGCGATGTCCGTTTCCCACATGGGAGTCGCCTGAGGGCAGATACGACCGCGAGAGCCTGTGTGGACCACGGAGCGGTTCACAGTAGGGGCAACAGGAGGGCGCCAGCGAAGATTTCCCACAGGAGGGGCGGCATAACGGATGTTGGAAAAGTTGTACAGTCCAGAGGTTTCCTGTACCTAGCTGTCAGCTAAAGAGTCTTCCCTTTTTTTTTTTTTTTTTTTCTTGCATGGTTGACACCCTCGAGAGGGCGTCGCTGCTTCCACTCACATTGTAGGAATAGGCTTGATGCAACTCGTAGCCCAGGTCGACGATGGGGAGACGCGTAGCGATGCACGCAGACACCAGCACCAGGACAAGCAGCACGACTCGTCCGCGAAGGAAATCCATGACTGCGACGAGAGGTTCTACTCACTTGAGGTGCAACTTGGAGGAGTGTTAGGTGCAAAACTTAGGAAGGTATCGAGAAGTAAAGTTTTCTGTGCATATATACTAAGAGCAAGTGCCTGGGATATGAGGGGGGGCTCTAGGTGAGCTTCTAAGTGGCTCGCATAAAGTGAATTCAACCCATTCACTATTAGACATACGCCATAGGTGACCAGGGGGGTGGGTATATTCACTAGCCAGTTAGTAATCTGGTTAAGATGACTTACTCTCACTTGGATAGTAAGTTATGAAGTCTTGACTCTCACTTTCATATCCAGATAGGCAAAAATACTCACTAGTGGAGGAAAACATATACCAAAATATATTATAGCCAGCTCTCACTTATGAGTAGAGACTTCCATGATATCAATTCTATCCTGCATTTAGCCATGATGGCCATTTCGAAGCCATCACAACTCGGATATGGAATTCTTTTCCCTTTGGCTGTGGGGGCGTTCTCCAGGTTTTTCTCTCTCACTCCACGGTCCAGACGGGAATCAGGGCCCAGTCGGGAAGCACCGCCGTGCAGGGCTCTAGACGGTGGAGGTGATGGAGGACGCCACTCGAGCAAGAGAACTCATTCTGTTCGTCCGTGTATTGACTCGGTTTGGACCTCGGTGGTTCTTGATCGGCAGATATAACCTCTGGGTCTGTCTGATTGGGTGTGTTTTGCCCATCGCAACCGCATGTGATTATAGCTCTCGGCGGATGCTTGGACTTTCAGTCTTTTGGCAGAGAATTCATACGTCAGCAAAGGAATCACCGAGAAGCTAGCCTTACCTGGAAATTCATGCCCCGCAGAGCTGTCTACCCTGACAGTCCGTGTTTTTGTCTTTGGTGTTGGTCTGGGATGTGGAAGTGGTCGGCGGGAAGGGATCGTCTCGCCCCAGACAAGCATTCACGTGCAAAGGTCCTCGGCCTGCACCAAACCAAGTCTTGGGGTAATTTCACTCGGCACACTGCTGAAAGGAATGGCAGTGGTCACTAGGTAAGATTTACGTGGTAGCCTCATCAATTGCAAGTCACACAAACTGTAGAAACCGGCTCGGGTCTTCTGTGGGTGTACTATGAAAAGGCTGCCTTTATGCCTCAGGCACCAAGGCATATATCACCACCTTCCTCTTTCCGTTGAACTTGGCGAACTTATCGTCAGTTCCAAGTTCCATCATGCAATAATGAAAGACTTTAACAAACTGAATGGTTTATTTGCTAGATATTTCCTCCAAAAATCATCATGATCAACAAAAGAAGCCTTCATTTGACTCCTTTCCCACACCATACCATGAAAACCGAGGTGACTCGAGCTCGACCAGCGTTTTGCAGTACAAAGGAACATGAACTCAGTCTACGAAGTGTCCATAGTTCAGCAGAATGGAAGGGGGGGATATATTGCTCTGATCAATGTGTCATGGCAGCTGGTGATACCAATAAGGCCACTACCCGGCTAAAAGAGACTCTAGGATGTCTTCTGGAAACAAGCTGATAGACGGCAATGACACTTCAGCAGTGCAGGTGAGACTAATTCATAACATGGTTTCCCACTCCCAGCAAATGAATGGTGACTATAAAACTTAGCCCTTGGTCTTCATTCGAAATTTTTCAAAGCCAGCAGCATACAAGAATGCCTTGTCTCTACGACCTCTTCTCTTGTAGCACATTTTTGAGGCAAATCCCAATACAATTACGATGGCTAAACTCTATTAGACACTCTTTTTTTTTCTGCTTCGTCCAAAAGAGGACAAGAAGAGAACCTTCATCAGGTGATACTTGCTGGTTTGCAGTTGATAATGAGCCGGTATCAAACTCGAGTTTAAACATCACATATCCATTCTTAGTTACACACTTCAAACCGTCCTACCCCATCCCCCACTGATGAATCAATGCTACAATATTCAACAGTCAAGAATATGTCAATGCTCCAGTATATGCCCGTTGCACGAGCGCCTGTGTGATACTCATTAACCACACATTGTGATACAGAAGTCAGGAAAAGCTGTGAAGGATACCTATCCATCGAGGGTATACCGGGGGGGATACAACTTTGTCTACCTTTTTCTTTCATTGGGATAGTAGGACAAGGTGGCATCTCGAGATGAGAAGGAATTTGTGTACGTCTGCATGTGCTTCACCACCTTTTTTTTGCATATAAAACTGAAAGCAGTGGCCGAATGGTGTCATTATAGGAATCAATTGCGAATTCAATCTTATTCAGTGGTCAAAGTCTTCCCATAACTGCGGATTTCGACGCAATGCTCTGGTTTTGGGTATTCCTCTTCTTCAGTGAGTATAATACCAACAGAAAAAAAGCAGGTAAAGCGTATTTATGATTAATAAATAGGCACTATTGCTGTTCAGGCCCGGCCTGATGCTCGTTCCCTGCTTGATCGACGCGCAGATGGAGACCAATTTGCAGTCAATGAATCTTGCGCCAACGTTGTCAGTATAGAAGAGCTTCCATCCCATTTGATGTGCTGTCCATTAACTTCCTTTTTTCTTTTTGCTATATCAAGTGTCCAAATGACTACACTTGTGCTGGTCAAGATACCTGCATCAGTCCTGCGGGGGAGAAGTTCTTGATCTGCGATTTCCTGTGGTTTCAAGTAAGTTTTGGCCCTCATCCACTCCCCTTTGGCTCATGATGAATATTTCTCATAAACCATGTTTAGTGCCATAGCCCTCTAACCTGCTGCAATCATCTGTGCAAAAATCTTAACAAGGATTTCTTCGACTGTGGTGCTTGTGGAAACAAGGTAAGTCAGCTGTCTGGCCAGAATATCGTTATTTAGTCACTCATCGCGAATAGTGCCCTTGGGAATCGAAATGTAAGAATGGAATATGCAAGTGCAAGAAAAACGGTTATCTCGTCTGTAATGGACAGTGTATCGACCCCCAGACTAATAACAGTAACTGTGGTGGCTGCAACATTGTGGTTTGTCGGCCTCCTCCCATGTCTTCCCCTCCGAGGAAGAAGAAGTCTCGCAGAGATGCTGAGTTCCCTTCCAGTGCAAACCACCAGAAACCTGCCAACAAGGCATGTGTTCATGTCCGGCCCCCAAGGTATAATGTAGCGGACAATGCACCGACACTTCAACTGACAATGAAAACTGTGGCAGTTGTGGCAATATGGTAAGGAATATAACATTCTTGAACATTCTGATGCTCTTTCCTATTTAACTTCCACTGATGATAGATATGATATAGTGCATGAGCGGAACAACTTGCATGAGTGGAGAATGTGCATGTTCACCTCCGGATACTCTCTGCAACGGGAATTGCACTGATACCTCGACTGATAATAGTAACTGTGGAAGCTGTAATAACACGGTAGGGGAAACCTTTTCCTCTTCCTCTCTCATTTCTGATTGGCATCTACTGATGGGATATATTGGCAGTGTCCTGCTGGATCCAATTGTATGAACGGAACATGCGTTTGCGCCCCCCCGAACAATGCTATCTGCAACGGACAATGTGTCGATACTTCAACCGACGTCGAGAACTGCGGCGGATGCAATATCACGGTATATTCCGGGGGCCTGTATTCACTCGCTGTCGTCAAGTACTAACGATTGAGGCAGTGTGCCCTCGGTGCTACTTGTACTGCGGGAGTGTGTAACTGTCCCGGTGGTGAAACAGTCTGCAATGACGTTTGTACCAACTTGATGACTGACAACTCGAACTGCGGCAGTTGCAACAACACAGTCAGCAAATCTTCTTTTCCCCCCTTTTGCTCATGAATTTGAATATACTGATGAAATAGTGTATGAGTGGAACAACTTGTACTGATGGCCTCTGCTGCCCGAGCGGTGATACCAATTGCAACGGCACTTGCATTAACACGGCGACTGACCCCAGTAATTGTGGAGGATGTGGCACTGTGGTTTGTTTAAACACAAGCTCCAGACCTGTAGAATTCATGTGCTTACAGTTTTTTAGTGTGCTATTGGTGCAAGCTGTGTTGCAGGGACGTGTACCTGCCCTGACTCCGAGACCAATTGCAACGGCACTTGCACCAATACAGCAACTGACCCTGATAATTGCGGAGGATGTGGCAATGTGGTTTGTTTGAA